GTTTGACACACACACACACACACACACACACACACACACACACACACACACACCACACATGATTTGACACATAAGGCATGCAATAAATATTAACAGATAAATCTATTTTGAGGGAAAGACAATACTAGCTTTATATGTAGAGAGTAGAATTGCTGATGAGTGATTTAAGCAGCTCCAGAAATTCTCTTATTTATTTATGCTACTTGGAATTCTAGCAGTATTAATTTGGGTTGAGTCAAAAATTGTGGAAACTTCACATACAAGTTTACATTAGTTTTTCTAGAGCTATAGATAGTTGGAGGGATTGATGGCTCACAAGAGGACAATGTGAAGATACTGGGATATCCACAAGTCTAGCATCAATGAAAAAGACAAAGATAAATTTTGTCTTAGATTTTGCTTAGGCAGTCTTTTATAAGAATCTCATAGAAAGTAGCTCATATAAAATAATAAGTAGACCTATCTAAAAAGTAGAATACTTTTAAAAAATCTTTTATTTTTGTTTTTTAATTGTGGTTAAATATACATAAAGTTTACCATTTTAACCATTTGTAAGTATATAGTTCAGTGGCATTAAGGACATTTACATTGTTGTATAACCATCACTACCACCATTCATTGCCAGAATTTTTTTTATCTTACCAGACTAAAACTGCACATTCATTAAACAATCCCTCCTTCTTCCCAGTTCCTGCCAGCCACCATTTTGCATTCTATCTCTTTGGATTTGACAACCCTAGGCATCTCAGGGGAATCATATAGTATTTGTCCTTTTGTGATAGACTTATTTCACTTAGCATGTTTTCAAGGTTTATCCATGTTGTAGCATGTGTTAGAATTTCCTTCCTTTATAAGACTGGATAGTATCCCATTGTAGGTAGATACTACATTTTGTTTATTCATTCATCTGCCAATGGACAGGATATAATGGTCAATTAATCAAACATGATCCTTGCTTTGGACGTGTTCAGCCTTGAAACCGGAAAAGAACTTGAGGGAGAACTGTGGGTATGATGTGACTTTGAGGCTAGGTCATAAAAAGTATTATACTTTTCATCCAATTTTAGATTGCTCATTCTGGGGAAAGCCAGCTATTCTGTGAGGATACTCAAATGACTCTTTGGAAAGGAACTGGAGCTTCCTACCAGCAGTCAGTACTGTACCAACTTACCAGCCACATCAGTGAGCCCCTTTGGAAATGGATCCTCTGGTTCCTTTCAGGCTTTTTTTTTTCCTTTCTTTCTTTTTTGAGTTGGAGTCTCGCTCCATTGCCTATGCTGGAGTACAGTGTCACACTCACTGCCACCCAGCGTCGACCAGCTGGGCTCTGGCAATCTTTTTGCATCAGCCTGCCAGTTAATCAGAATGGCGCACAGGCTACCACGCCTGGCTAATTTTTAAAAAATTTATTGTAGAGATGAGGTCTCGCCAAGTTGCCCAGGCTGATCTCGAACCCTCAGGCTCAGGCAGTTCACTCGCCTCCGCCTCCCAAAGTGCTGGGATTACAGGCTAAGCCACCAAGCCCAGCTCCTTTCAGGCTTTTAAATAACCACAGCCCCAGTCACATCTAACTGCAACCTCGTGAGAGAACCTGAACTAGAACCATGAAACTGAAGTGCCCTTGACATCCTGATCCGCAGAAACTATGGGAGATAAATGAATGTTGTAAACCACTAGGCTTGAGGTGACTTGTTGTAGAATATTAGATAAATAATACATAGCATTTAACCCTAGACATGCATAAATTACTAAATTACTAATCAGCAATAAACTCAAGGGACCACTTTTGCAGATTTCTGGAACTCCTCTGCATAGCTTCCTCTTATCTGGAACTCTGTCCTGTGAATTCTGGCCTACGCAGCCTTCCTGAACTCCAGTCTTTGCCATCTTAACTCAGCGAGACTACTGCCCTCTACCTGGATTCAGGTTTTCTATGCTATGGTCCAGAACGCACTTCTAGGCAGAAAACTAGGGCATTTTAGGGCTCACCTCTTGCTTTTTCCTTTTGGATTACAGTTCTGTGGTACCTGTTTTCCAGTCTCTAAAACAATTGTTTCATATGTTTTGCCCAGTTTTCTATTTGTTTACAGTGAGAGGTCATCTGATATTAATTATTCTAATGTGGCTCGAAATGGAAGTCTCTAAAATTGAATTTTAAAATTTAGTAGAGTTGATTTTCTTTTTAATGCTTCAGTTGCTCCAATTAAGAAAGAAAATCTTATAAATCTTATAGATTAAACATAAATTTATTGACCTTTAAGTTTTTGTTTATGTTCCCATTGTAGGTGGATACTACAAAATACTGCTTACTAATTTAAATAAGATTCATTGTAAAAAGACATTTAAATCAACTAAATGTTTTTGACTGGAACTGTGTCTTATTCTCCTAACATACAAGTCATAAAACCTTATGTAGATACAGATTAACACAATAATATAATGGATTTGATTATCGTAAATATTTCCATATTAAATTCTAAATCTCCATGGATAAAAAACTGCTTAGGCACCCAAGCTATTATCAGCAACAAACAGATACTGAACTTCAAATAGGTTTGGGAAATCTTATGTTGCTGAGCTTCCCTAATGACATGCCCAAGATTGTCAGGGAGAATGACTGTTGCTGTTGGATCTTCTAGAATGAGTAGAAGTATGACAAATAATAAATGAGGGAAGACATATTTTAGACAAAGGGACTGACATGCAAAAGTAAGAAACTGTGGAAGGCTGTACCTTCCACATCCACATCCAGGGATTACAAAAAGTTCTTTTGTTAGGATTATAGGCTATGTGAATGGAAGTGACACATGTGGAAACTGGAAAGGTAGAACTGGGCCAGACTATGAATACCAAATTAAGGAAAAAAAATCCAGATTTTTTTTCTGTAAACCTTTGATGAGCCAGCCAACATTTAAAAAATAACAGCTGAAATCTATGATGAATAAAAAAACCTCTTTATTTAAATTAATAATTTGTTTCCTTATACTAATCTCTTAGATTGTTAAGAGTGTAATTGATACATGATAGCTGCTTATTTTGTAATCTAGGATTATTTTTGTTTCAGCTTTTACCCTACGAAAGGAAAATCTGGAAATGTTTGAAGCAATTGGTTTTTTAGCTATCAAACTTGGTGTGATTCCTTCGGATTTTAGTTATGCAGGCCTTAAAGACAAGAAAGCCGTTACCTATCAAGCGATGGTTGTTAGAAAAGTGACTCCAGAGAGGTAATAATATCTTGGTGTTTAAGATAGAACTTTATTTTTATACTATATGAAATAAATAAAAACCTCAGAATAATACTGTGAGCATATTAACCTCAATATAAGTATTAATTAGTTGATTATAAGCTTGCTGAGCCACATATTCTGCATTAATAATATAATTATCTTCCAAATAGAGACATATTTTTAATTTACATTCATAATATAGAAAGTTTTAGGACAGAAACTTTGAAAATGGCAGATTTTAAATTGTCTAAATTGTTTCTAGACATCCTATACTATATTCAAATATGCCTTTATATTTAGGCAAATGTCTTAAAATTATTTTTCTGAATTATTACACTACTTTTGTCTTTATTATAGATCCTTATATTTAAAATAAATCCTTATTAAATAGAATGTAAAATACACAAATTTAGCCTCTCTTCTGCTTAATCAAATTTTATATATATTTTTTGTAATTATAAAGAAAAATTCATGGTAGAAGATTTAGAAAATTTAAAAACTATAAAAAAGAAATTAAAAGTAACTACTAATATCACCTCTTAGAAATAACTATAACATTTTGATCTATTTTTCCAGATTTTTTCAGACTACACCACACATACATATCAAAAGACATGTATTATATACGTATGAAATCATGCTACTATATACAGTTTATATTTTGCTTTTCAAAATAATGTTTATGAAAATTTGTGTCATGAAATATTTCAAAATCATGTCCATCATACAGATTAATATGTTCAACATTCTCTTATTTTTGAAAACTGTAATTCTTTCTAATTTTTCACTGTAAATAATACCATAATTAATATTCCTGTACTTAAATCTGTACCTTGTGGATACTTTCTTAAGATAAACTTCAAAAAGTTGAGTTATTGGGCCAAGATTAAGCCTAATTTGCTGTAATACTGATATATTACTTGCTAGTCACCAGACATTTAAGTATCCATAATTTGCAAGTAAACTCTTCTAAGTGCTTCTATGCTCTTATATGGGGGACAAAAAAATGTGTGTAGTTTTGTCTTTGTGGTCAAGAAGTGCAATATAGGTAAGAGAGAAGGACTTTAGATGTTAAAAAGTGCTTAAGATGAAAGCTAGTTTTTAACTACCAAAGACAGTAAATATATTGGTTCCTAGGAGGTGTGATTACTTTGATTTGGCTTATGAATATGGGTTTTTCATTACACTTCAAGTAACAGAATTTTAGCAGATGCAACAAATCTGGAGATACATTTGAAGGGGCAGTAAACTAAACAATCTCCCTAATAAGTAATTCTTGTAAACACTACTGAAAATATGGTTCTAAAGGAAAATTTATATCTGCTCTTATAGGATCTTAAAGGTTATGCAAAGAAAATTGAAATCTATTCTTTAGATGTTGGAAGAATTGAAATTTGAGTGAGGAAGTGTTCAGGGCAGAATGTCAGGAAAATCCTCTGGTGCTAGTGATTTTTTTAGTAATATTAGGTAGAGAGACTGGGAAGAAAAGGAGCAGAGTCAGGGAGAGGAAGAGCAGGAGAATTGCTAGGAGGTTCTGTCACTTCAAATAAGGAGAAGTCAGAAGGCCTACATAGAATGACCGCATTGGTAATATATATTCCAGTTCTTAAAATAACTCTGTTAGTATATAATCTTATAATAATGGGTGTTAAATGTACATTTGTTGAGATAATATTAACTTTAGTATATTCCAAATCCTTACATTAAAGCAATTTTTAAATGTAAGATTTAACTGAGTCTATATGATTTATTACTTGCAGGTTGAAAAATATTGAAAAAGAAATTGAAAAGAAAAGAATGAATGTGCTTAATATTCGGTCTGTAGATGATTCCCTTAGACTTGGTCAACTCAAAGGAAATCACTTTGATATTATCATTAGAAATTTAAAAAGCCAAATAAATGATTCTGCAAACCTGAGAGAGAGAATTGTGGAGGCAATAGAAAATGTTAAGGTAAGAAAACTCAATTTTAAAATAGAGTATTGCAGGAAAATCTTCACTCTGGAGTGAAGCAAGAAGGGAAGCTTTTCTTTTGTACATTTTTACGTGCATTTTTAAAGTGATAGCATTTCGCTTACTTTTTATTTTCTTAATGCATTTTTGTATTAAAACAAAACCAAATATATAAATGTAACTTTAAAAATACAATGTATGGAGTTCCCTAGAGAAGGGAGAACAATCTATCTACATAAGAAAAGAATTTGTTTATTTTTTTTTAAGCATTTCCTATATAGAGTAGTAATTTAGTTAGGAGACTTTATTTTGTGGAAATGTTCAGTAATTCTTTTCAGAAATCTTTGGTAAGTAGTTTCATTACTTTTCAGAATTGTACACAATCTTTTTCTTCTTAATGTAATTTTGAATTGTTCCTATGTATACAAATTATAAATTACATACACGTTATGTTTTACAGTAAAAAAATTACTTAACATAAATTTTAAATGACATCTGCCAGTCATTTAAACATACACATATAATCATAACCTTCAGTCTTATCATCTAGACTAGGAGTCAGAAAATGTTTTTTTATAAAGGGCCAGCTAATAAATATTTTTGGCTTTATAGGCATTCCTGTTGCAACTAATCTACTGTCATTGTGTAAACACAGCTGCAGACAATACATAAGTGAATGAGCATGGCTGTGTTCCAATAATACTTTATTTACAAAAACAAGTGTTGGACCAGATTTGACTTTGGGATGTAGTAGTTTGCCAACCCCTAATATACACCAGTGATTCTCTACCTGGGGAGATTTCAAAAAAATTGTCAGTTGGGCATGGTGAGTGAGGCCTGTAATCCCAGCAGTTTGGGAAGCAGAGGAGGGAGGATTGTCTGAGTCCAGGGGTTCAAGACCAGCATGGGTAATTTAGCGAGACCTTGTCTCTACAATAAATCAAAAAATTAGTTGGGAGTGGCAGAACATGCCTGTGGTTCCAGCTACTTGGAAGGCTGAGGTGGAAGGGTCATCTGAGCCCAGCAGGTTGAGGCTGCAGTGGCCATGAGCGTGCTGCTGCACTCCAGCTGGGTGACACAGTGAGACTCCTAGATAGATAGATAGATAGATTGATAGATACATACATACATATACACACACACACACACACACACACACACACACACACACACACACACACACACGTTATCAATCAATCTCTACTCCCAAACCAATTTAGAAAGAACACTGGGGGCAGGGGCAGGGAGGTTGCAGCTTAAGCATTAGTGTTCATCGTTTAAAAATTCTTTAAGTGATTCTACTTTACAGCCAATATTGAAAACACCGATCCAAGTTTCTGACCACAAAGACCTTTTTACATAATCTTATACCTCTCCAGCCGGTTAACAAACAAAAACTGATTTTTAATTTGCCTTACAGTCAGGAAAATCTCTTCCAGTTGAAGATTTTGTAAATCCAGCACTTTGACCTGAATATAGAAGTTCTCTGGTTGTATGTGCTTTATATGGTTTTTACCTTTTATTCTGAACCTACCTAAATTCTACTTTTTTTCCTGAAAAACTGCTACCAAAATTATATTTCTTGGAAAAGGGGAGGGGTTTCTTGGAACTCTGATAGCATTTATTACCTGTCTTTCATTTATATTTATGAATATACAGCTGCCTATCACAAAATTCCCCTTAGAAATCATCTTAGCTTTAGCCATCTTTCTTTAGTTCTCACGATAAGGAAAAGGAATTGAGAAATTCTGAAAATAAGGACTCTTTGGACGTTTTGTTTTAGGGGATTATATCTCCAATTGTTATAAACATTTTGTTATTTCTAAGTAATTTGAAGGGGTACTGAAAACTCTTCTGGCTATTCTAGGATATTATCTGATGTTATTTTTCAAAATTTTAAATAATTAGAGGTATTTAACTATGAGAATTAATTCAAGGAGTACTTATTCTATCTGCAATTGATTTTTTTTTTTAGTGACATAAGGTTAGATGCAATTCCTTTTATACCATGCTGATAACACATTGTCTTAGTGTCTTTTTTTTCTTTTTTTTGAGTTAGGGTTTCACTCTGTCTCCCAGGCTGGAGTGCTGAAGTGTGATGGCATGATCACAGCTCATGGTAGCCTCGACCTCCCGGGCTCAGGCAATCCTCCCTCCTCAGTTTCTCAAGCAGTTGGGACTACAGGTGCATACTACCACACCTGGCTAATTTTTTTATTTTTAGTTTTGTAGAGACTAGGTCTTATTATGTTGTTCAGGCTGGTCTCAAACTCTTAGGCTCAAGCAATCTTCTTGCTTTGGTCTCCCAAAATGCTGGGATTATAGGCATGAGCCACCACACCTGGCCACATTGTCTTAGCATCTTTTTTTGAAGTTCTTTTATTGAGTTCTATTATTGAGTTTGTGCTCAGTTATAATAATTATTGACTGAATAAATGCATACCCCTCATAAAGTAAGTGTAGAGAACTCTTTTATCTTTCAAGATACCATCTGGGCCTGGTATTTTCTTTTCTTTTTTTTTCTTTTTATTTTAAAGTTGTAGAGTACAATTCAGGATTAGATATACAAGTGATCATCGTACAGGTCAAGTTTGGGCCTCCCTTTGATCCCCACTTTGCCTAGTTTGAGATCAGGTACCCTTATTGATGTTGTATAACGCCCCCCCCCCCAGCAGTTTCCGGCTACTGCCAATGTCTTTCTTATAGTATTATTGTAAAGGTTCAGGGTCTGCTTATGAATGAGAACATGTGGTACTGAGTTCTTTGTTTCTGTGATAAATCACTGAGTATTAAAGACTTTAAATCCATCCAAGTTGCTGTGAAGTCCATAATTTTGTTCTTTATGACTGCGTGGGCCTGGTATTTTCACCACTGTCCAATTTCTTTAATGGTTGCAGTAGTAAATTACAATTTTCTGTTTCTTCTAAGTAATATGACAGTTTTAAAACATGACCTCAAGATTCACTTCCATCCAGAGGAGGAGTCGGTATCCCTTCCTTAGAACCCAGGAAACCAGATGCTGTAATAGCTGGGCCAGAAGAGTACTGCTGAAGAGACGCCATTGTCTCAGCCCAGTCTTAAGAAACTAAAGAACGAACAGTTCTTAGAAAGGAGTATGAAAATAAGTCTGTTTTTTATTCCCAACATTTCAAGACAGCAGGGCAGTCTCAAAATACAAATAACTTCGAGGCAGGTATCAGATCCAGGTACTAGGGGAACAACTTAGCCTGCTTTGCCCAGAACATTCCCGGTTTTAGCATTGGAAGTCCAGCATCCCAGGAGACTCCCAGTAATGTGATGGAAAGCTGAACATTTTAAAGATTTTCTTCACTGGTTTATTTTCTAACTTTTAATTACGTGTTCTTATCCTTTCCCTTCTTTAACTGTATAGCATTTCTCAGATAATTTGGTCCCTATGTGCATATTGTTAATTACAGGATTCTTTTATTAAAATAAATGTGAAGAGAAGTATTTGATTACATGTACTGACATATAATTGTATTTATATACTTTTAATTTGTTGATTATTTTGTATGTGTAGAATAAAGGCTTTGTGAATTACTATGGACCACAGAGATTTGGGAAGGGAAAGAAAGTTCACACAGACCAAATTGGACTGGCTTTGCTGAAGAGTGAAATGGTATGGATTTAAAAACATATAATCTTATCTGTTTTGTACGTTATACTTATTATATAAGCCAGCTCTCTGCTTTCTTATCCCTAGCATATAAATGCATGTATGCTCACACATATGTAGACCCACATATTAAAGATACTACATCATTTAACATTTATTAAGCAGCTACTATATTCTTGGTATCGAATTATAAGAAAGCCAAATGTATGCAGTATACTTGTGTTTAGTAGTTTTTTGAGACTTGACAGAGAATTGACCATCACTCTTCAAATTCTTAGTGAACTGAACAGAAGCTTTAGAAGAAACTTATACCCTACAATTCCAGAAAACGGGTATCAGATCATATGAAAAGTAGGAATTTACCCAAGTGTAGAGACTAAAGGACAGCTGCAAATTTGAAAAAAATCTTACTTGTCTCAATGAAACTAAAAATTCATGTCATATATAAGTCAAAATATCAAAAGTATATGTGTGTGTGTATACTTTTAATATATATTTGTATATATTCTTATAAGTAATTACATATTATATATACACATATATTTTTACACTGGAATGGAGTTCACATAATGGAGGAAAACTACAAAACAATAAAAATTTTATATTTGAACAAATGCAAGATTATTCATTTGATAGTACCATTTTCATGTTGATTTCTAATGTTTTCTTGAGTGGAAGAGAAGGGAACAGTAAAAGAACTTGTGAGAAGCCTTGTGCATTGAGCATTACCTTACATATGGAAATAAGGTTGAGAGCTGATGATTTAGACCACATCTGCCGTCAGTTCTGGGCTTCAAATTTCAAGAGTGATTTTAGCAACTGCAGTATAACTGATATGATAAAGGGTCTAGAAATTATGCTTTTTAAAATTTTTTAAATTTTTTCTCTTGGAGGCAGGGTCTCACTCTGTTCTCCCGGCTGGAGTACAGTGACATAATCATAGCTCATTGTAACTTCTAATTCCTGGGCTCCAGTGATCCTTCTGAGTGACTGGAACTACACATATAAACCACCGCACCTGGCTACATCTTTACTTTTTTGAAGAGATAGGATCTTGCTATGTTGCCCAGGCTGGTCTTGAACTCCTAGGCTCAAGCATTCCTCCTGTCTCAGCCTCCCAAAGTGTTGGGATTATAAATGTAAGCCACATGCCCAGCCATGAGAAACCATGTTGGTGAGAAATGTTTAACTTAACAGTGGTTCTTTAGTCTAGAAAACTCTGAAGAGAAAATTAACTAATAAAATATTTGAAATGGTGTCATATGGAAGAAGAATTTAGTAGTTTGGGGTCTGTGGGATGCAGCTCATATTCTATTTGAATTCTGCCATTTGCCAAATATGTTACCATGGGCAGATTACTTAACTTTTCCAAGCCTTGGGTTATTTATCAGTAAAATGGAGATAACATATGCATTCCAGTTTTTTTGTGAGAAGTAAATTTTAAAACTCTTGTGAAAACACTTAATATAGTGCCAGGCCTGTGGTAGACGAATGATCACAAGTGTGTTTGGACTAGTAATGCTCTGGTTTTACAAGGATAGAAATTTAAGGGGCCAGTTTTAGTCTAGAATAAGAAAGACTTTTTAAAAACAATTGTTCAAAGGAATGGAATTCTTTCTCCTGAAGAACTAGAAATATCCTGGTTCTCATAGCATTTAAGCAAAAACTGGATGACTATCCTTCTACTCCTTTCAAATTTCATATTACATGTTCTTAAATTTTTAAAAATTCTGCTACAGTATTATAGGAATACCGTATTCTGAATTGTCAGCTATTACTGTGTAACAAATTACCCCAGAACTGAATGGCTTAAGACAGCAAGTATTTATTATCTCATAATTTATGAGATAATAGGAATCTGGGAGCAGCTTAGCTGGGTGACTCTAAATGAGGGTCTTATGAGGTTACAGTCATACTTTGACCAGGGCTGTTGTCTCTGAAGACTTGACTGGGAATGGTGGATCTGCTTCCAAACTCAGGCTCATGGTTATTGGCAGAAGGCTTTAGTTTCTGGGTTTAAGACTACTTGTGGTGTGGCTTCCCCCATAGAGATGAGTCCAAGAATGCAAACAAGTGAGGGAGACAACAGATACTGCAGTGTCTTTTATAACTTAATCTTGGGAGTGATTGGAAGTGATCTTTACTACTGCTGTATTCTACTGGCCACCCAGACCAACCCTGATAAGTATGGGAGAGGAATGTACTAGGTGTGAGTACAAGGTGATAGAGCTCACTGGGCCATCTTAGAGGCTAGTTCCAGTAGCTAGAAAGCCATATCTTCTTTCCTTTGCCTGAAGCACACCCTCACCTTTATGTTCTTTGGGTCTCAGTTTAAATGTTTTCACCCTGCTCACCAAGAAAAAGTGAATTCCATTTATTTTGTGATCCTGCAGCATCCTGGACTTCTCATCTTAAGTTTTATTATATTTTGCCATTATTGCTTATTTAATTCATTTCAGTAGTCAGGAACTGTGGTAGGACAGAAACCATGTCTCTTTCGCTCAGTCTCTAAAATCCTACATGTACCTAGCACATGGCAGATACCTAGAAATATTTATTTGAATGAGTGAATACTGTAAGAGAAAACTGAGTGGGAGGGTGGTCTTAACGACCTACTTAAAGATATTTTTCTACTCTAAAACTCTTACTTAGAAATAAGTCCTATCTGTAGATAGTGATAAAATACAGAAACTAATAGACTCCATTAAAAAGAAAAAAGGAACATCTTTTAATCTATTTAGGATTTAAAATAAAATATTACAGTTAGCAGGAGGGGCATACCTCATCAACAAGGGTACCTGCATGATCAATGTTTATATACCTAACCCTGAATTGTACCCCACATCTTTATAATAAAAATTTTAAAAATAATAATAAAACATAAAAGTTTTAAAAAAAATTACAGTTAGCAACTTTTTCATTAAGAGTTCAGCCATTATTTTAAGACCAAAGAATTCAGAGAAGTGAGAACACAAATTAAATTAGGAGATCACCATTCTCCTCTGCTTGCTACTCCCCTATTTTTATGGTAAATGTTGGTCAGGTCTGAGGTGTAAGTCATAACTTCACCCTTGTGTCTATAGCCCAATAATAGAGGTAAAGGATAACAGAAGTCTGGACTGTTCTGTCTGTTGCCAGCAATATAATTTATACTTGTTATGTACCTACTTTAATAGTACTCTCAATGATATAACCTCTTCTCCCATTTTATATCTCTCTGTATGTTTTTTCTTATGCTTCCTTTAGTTTTTAAGAGAGAACCATCTTTTATATCTCCAGTATCCTTTTCCTCTGCAAGAGCTTCTAAATCTAGAGAAATAAAAAAGCCAGTTAACACATGTGTGGCTACGAAATGAGTGAAACATAACTTTATCTAATCCCAACGTGAATGTTGTAGCTCTATTTTCTGTGGAAACTTCTGGAACTTCTTTTTTAATGTTTTCTTTCTGGGCCATTTTCTTTACCTTTTCTCTGGGAGGTAGGCAATCTGCTTCTTTAGCATACATCTTTTCTTCTTTCCTATTCTGAGTCAGATAAGCTGGACACTTCAGCTCTTTCTTATTTTTTCTTTTTCTTTGAGGGTTTCTTTTGGGGTTCAGTAGTTTCTTCTTCAGAGCCCTCACATGTGGTTTTTGATCTTTTCAATTTAGAGATGCCCACGTTGCTTGTGTCCATATTTAACTCTTTACCCTGGATTTTGTCTTCTTTTTCCTTCCTCTTTTTCTTCTTTTCTTTTGTAACAGTGTTATCATTAGTTTCATTTTACTTCAACTGCATCTTTTTAGATATTAAATACCTTCAAATATATCTATTTAAATATTAAATAATACTCAGCAACTACCCTTAAAGCCAGCATGGGCTTATTTTTCACTGCCTTAGGAAATATGCGCCAGTTTTTTTGGTGCTTCTCCTGGTGAATTGTTAAGAACCTGAAAGGATTGCAAAAAAGTTTTACCATTTATAATACTTGCTAAATTTTTTGCTGTTTCTCATTTTAGGATCTGGGCCTACCTCAGTAGATTTGCTGCTTGTTTTTTTTTTGTTTCAGATTTTACAGTGGCATATCCCTTTGGATTTCTAGTAGAATTATAATGTGGTATACTTATATAAACAATGTTGCCACAACTCTCAAATACTCTCTCAGCTATTAATAACACTTTGGGGAAGCAACTCCTAAAATAGATAATAAATAGAAACAGTATTAAAATTCAGATTTTAATAGCATAGCCTAAACTTTTCACAATTCCTATGCCCCACCCAATATGCCAGTATATTTTAACTTTGATAGTTTTTAAAAAATGACAAAAGTAGAACTATAGAAGAGATAAGAGGGAACACTTTTTTCCAGTCCATTATATTTTAAACCTATGTATAAAGTTACTTTGTGCAGAAGGCTTTTTTCTACATTTAACATTGAGTGTTTCATTTTCAAAAGCCTAAGGAGAAAATTGCAGTATCAAGTGTCATTTATTAAATGCCTATTCTTTTAAGAGATAAGCAACTTTTTAAAATAAGTAATTTGACATTTATATTAACCTATGTTTGCTTGTTTTGTTTTTCAAGGTGAAGGCCATAAAATTATTTCTTATACCAGAAGACTTGGATGACCCTGTAAATAGAGCAAAGAAGTATTTTTTTCAAACTGGTATTTAAGTTTCTTTAATATACATAGCCATGCACGTATATAATATAGAAGTTATATCAGCAGGAGGGCATTTATCACAACATAAATGTGATAAGAAATAGATTATAATATATTATGATATATAAATGTGATATATATATTGACTCATTACATGATCAAGCCATTTACTTTTGGTCAGATTTGATACTTTTGTCTGTTCTAACTCTTGTTTAAGGCTAGGGATGAAGGAAGAAATAGTTTCCTAGTTTTTTTGAGCCAAAAACCTCTGAGGAGTTAGAAGTTCCCAATTCTATTCTGGTACTGATGGCAATATAATTCATTACAACTGGGGGAAACTCAAATATAAGCTAAATAAAAAGTCATTTGATATTCAAACTTTATGCATTGTTTTTTATCTAGTTGCCATCTTTCCCTGTCAATTTTTAAAAACTTTTCATAAATATGATAGTATATATGTAGAATGCTTCATGGAACCACCTAAGAAAAGTGGTTATGAACATGGCTAGTGTCAGACTACATGAACCTGTCAACCATAATACTTCCCAGCAGTATAATCTTGTGCAAGTGATTTAACCCTGGTATTTTAGTTTCCTTACCTGTAAATTAAAGACTGTTACAAGATTTAAATAAGATAAAAGATGTAATGCTCTAAAATGTATGCCCGGCACATACTACATATAGGATAACTATTACTGGTGTTTAACAACAATAGCAACCATACCACTTCAGGTACATTTAAATAACTGATCCACATGTATGTACATACTGAATTTCACTTGCAAAACATTGAAATAAAGGACATCAGTTTTCAAATATCTATTCATTATTTTTAATTATGTACATTTTGTATATATGTAATCATTCACAGAAAGTAGTATAGTAGTATTTTTTTTGCTACAATGTGTAAACAGTGCGGGCACTTCTCACTATTACAGTTACTTCAGAGTAATTTAAGTAATACCAAAGAAAATTCAAAGTGACTTATTTGTATGTCTTGCAGAGTCGGGAGAAGAAAATATTTTTATAGTAAATGCTTCTTAAACTTTAGTTTACATAAGAAACACCTGGCACATTTATTAAAATACCCATTCCAAGGTCCTACTTAAGCATCTTTGCAGTGGAGTCTGGTAAGATGCATTTTAAAAAGCCTCCCATTAGCAAAGCTTAATAATACAGTTGAAGACTCCAGATCTCAACTATTCCTTAGTCAAAAAATTATGTGTATGTGTCTTATCATAGTTCTTTAAAAATCTCTATCTCCTACCTGCTCATCAGATTATTTAATCCCTGGATTTGTGTTTGTTTGTTTGTCTGGACAGTTCTCTGAATAACTACAAGTTAGTTTATCTCTATTCTGAAGTAAGGGACTGTGTCTGGCAAGCCGTTACAACTACTGGACTTTTTTTGTGAAAGAAAGCCCATATTCTGAATAACCTTACTTAAATTTAAAAATAAATAAACTCTTCATGTTTAGCTAGGTTTAACTGACAGTGCTGACCATCATCTTTATATTCATGTTCAGTACCTCTCACTGAGAGAATAACAAAGGACTTTACAACTGGCCTTTAAATAAAAGAGCCTGACTACCTGATTTACTCTTTATTTCAGAGGATGCTAAAGGCACACTTTCATTGATGCCTGAGTTCAAAGTTCGAGAGAGAGCATTGTTGGAGTCATTGCATCGCTTTGGCATGACAGAGGAGGGTTGTATTCAGGCATGGTTCTCTTTTCCCCATTCCATGCGCATATTCTACATTCATGCATACAGCAGCAAAATTTGGAATGAAGCCGTATCTTACAGACTTGCAACCTATGGATCAAGAGTAGTGGAAGGTGATTTGGTCTGTTTGGATGAGCATGTTAATGAGAATTTCTCAAATAGTAAAGTAAGTATCAATTCATCAGAGTTTTCTAAGAGTAGTTACCATATCAGAAACATTAATTTTCAAAAGCCCTGATTTTTCATAACGGGTTTAACATACTTTTTTTTTTTAACTTATATTTACTCATCTCCTGCTTCTACTCTTGTCAGTTGAGTCTTAGCACATAATTTGGAAAAATAAAGGTAGTCAGTGGCATGGAGTGAAAGGAACAAAGGTAGTAAAACCTCCATTAAAGAACACATTTAAAAAAATTACACACGTAATGCACAGAACAGTCCCCTTAAAAATAAATGTCAGACCGAGCACGGTGGCTTACGCCTATAATCCCAGCACTTTGGGAGGCCGAGGTGAAAGGATTGCCTGAGCCCAGGAGTTTGAGGAACTTGGCAAGACCTCATCTCTACAATAAATAAAAAAAATTAGCCAGGCGCGGTGGCATGTGCCTGTAGTTCCAGCTACTCGGAAGGCTGAGGTGGGAGGATCGCCTGAGCCCAGCAGGCTGAGAGGCTGCAGTGGCTGTGAACATGTCACTACACTCCAGCCTGGGTGACAGAGTGAGAATCTGACTCTAAATAAATAAATAAATAAAACATCAAATCTTTTCAGGTAAGAGGTGAAGCTGTCATCTGTAATCATCATCCTAATACGATTCCCTTCCCTACCTCCAGGGAATCAACCACTGTTGTTTGGAATGTGTCTTTCTAGACCATTCTCTATGCTTTTATATAAGTATCCATAGAGAATATATTTTTATTCTGTTAACACTGAGAAAAGGCAGAAATTAGAGGCTCACAACTTAGAATATGAAAAGGAAGAAAATAAGATTTTTATAATAATGGTATATGGAGCATGTAATATTTGCATGTTTCTTTTATATAAATGATTATATGTAAATGTAGTTTTAGAATTTGCTTTTTTTCCTCTTAGCAATGTCTTTGAGACACTTATCTTAGTAAAATTATAATTTATATATTTTAAAGTTGGTTCTTTCATTTCCTCCCTGAATATTTTTATCTCTGTGAGTTTGAGCTAATGAAACTGGATTCCATGTTATACAAGACAATTCATTTTCTAATATTGTAATGCAAAAAGAGTAAATTATTATTTAATTTTGTCATAAATAGGTCTTGAATAAGTTTGAAAAATTAGTGAAAGAATTTGAGTACTTTTAGAGGAGTAGGAGAAAAGAAAACTCTTTTCTAGCTCCTGTTTTATAGAATGAAAATTGAGATGCAGATTGGAGAGGAGACAGAATCTGAGTCACATGGGTACCAGAATTAAAAAAGACCCTGTTGCCTGACTCCTAGCCCAATTGGTCTCTACTAACAAAATCATGGAGTATAGAAAGGTAGTAGCATTGAGAGCTAAACTGTGGCCCAGTTTTTAAATGATGACTCTGAACTCTACATATAGGAAACTTTATCTAAATTAATGTCAGAGTTTTTGATATATAGGAATTAAGGTTTTTTTGGTTTCCAGTAATAGAAACCCACATCAAGCTACAATCACTTCAGGAAAAACCTATAGGAATTTATTGATCCTTGCAACTCAAAGTCTCTGACTGATTTAGGCACAGCTAGTGGTTTAAGTTTCCTAAATAACCTATCTTACTTTTTTCATCTTTCGGCAGTGCTTTTCTGTTAGAGCCATTCATAGTCTGGCTTACACCTTTGGTGGCAAGATGGTTATTAGCAATTCTAGGTTTATTTCTCACAACTCTAGACTCACTTCTCTATAGAAAAGAGATCTTTTATTTTCTAATGGTGTCAATAAAAGCTATGTAAATTCAGTCCCAATAGGAAGGAATTGCCTGGTATGGATCACATGTCCAGACCAAACCAGTAAGTGTGGACTGGAATATGTGATTGGCTAAGTCTGCCTTCTGTGGGCTCTTTCGCATCATCCCACCTAGCCTACATCTGAGACCTGGGAGGGAGTTCCTGGAAAATGAGGGCGCTACTATGAGAAAAGAGGGAGCAGATGCTGTGTAAGCCAGAACAACAGATGTCTGCTTTAGTGGTTCATTAAATGGGTGCTGTATGAATATTTAGGTAAGAAAGTGATCACTAGAAGGCAGCATATGCTACTAAGAAAAGTCAGTTATTGTGACACAGACTCTCAAACGCCATAAAAAGAAATCTAGCAGCACTGTAGGTTTTATTTTACCACATGTGGGAGAGAAGAAGTATCAGTCATCCCCTTCTGATAAGTAACAAAAAATCATAGGGTTTTCTTTTTTACCTCTTCTAGAAAACCTGTAAATATTGAGCAATACATTATTTAGTAAGTCTGCCATTTCTAATTCAAATTTTTTAAAAAGTTAAACATTATTTTCCTAAGATACAGCAACAATCTCTGAATTCAAGTGTTTAAAGAAAGACTTTTGATTAAAAAACAAGTTTGCAAGGCCAGTTTTATGATCAGAATTGTATCTGCTTTTCTTTTTGGTCATATCTTGTAGAGTTTTCTTTTTGCTTCATATCTTGTAGAGTTTTCTTTTACTGGCTGCAAAAAAAAGGTCTATTTATATTTTAAGACCAGTCGTTTATTGTATTAGTTAGCACTATGAAAAGAAAAGCCAGGACTTAGAGGTCCAAAATGTAAATTATGAGAAGGAAAAATAGTAAGAGGTGAGTGAATTGCCTGAGCCCTCGGGTTTGAGACGTGCCTGGGCAGGCGAGACCTCATCTCTACAATAAATCAAAAAATTAGCCGGGTGTGGTAGCACACGCCTGTAATTCCGGCTACTCAGAAGGCTGAGGCGGAAGGATCGCCGGAGCCCAGCAGGTCGAGGCTGCGGTGGCCGGGAGCGGCCACTGCACTCCAGTCTGGGCGACAGAATGAGACTCCAACTCAAAAAAAAAAAAAAAAAGAATTCTAATAAATGGCATATGGGGTATGCATTGTTGTATATCTACAATTAAAAATTTTAAGAAGTTCTTAGTAATCTGATTGTCTTTTGATAGGATTACTAGACTGACAGGTGTATTTATATTTTAAGTCACTTGGTAGATTTTCTTAGCATTTTTTGTGGGCAGGATGGAGAAATGTGAGTCAGATAATTGAAAAGTTAGGTGAATTCATAGTTGAGCCGCACAGCAAAAGCGTGCTTGTTGGTTAACTTATTGATAACAACATGAAGGGAGCTCTCTAAAGACAAACATGATGTTCTATACTTAACTATGCTTGTTCAGTATTTTCATAAATTACTTGTCACAGTATTGTAAGTATACTTATGACTCTGTAAAAGATAGAAAGCTAAACACGATGATGCAATAGAAATCATAGTCCCAGTAGTTTGTCTGTCTCTCGTAATTTGGTCAGCTCACATCTGGAACTTTCTATCCATTTCTTATTGCAGTAGTTAAAAGAGGTTCTTTACCAATAAACAAACACCCACTCCCCCAATTCAAAACAAAACAAAAAAAGAAGGTCATTATTGATGAAACAAGGGAGAACTGAGGGGAAGTGAGCAGATTTAGAGAGGATCTCGACCCTATATTGTATGATGAATGCTTTAGGCATATAGAGGTGCTGTGAATCCTTGTAGAAAGAAGATAGTTAGCTGCCTTTCTACTGGAGCTTTCATGTCTAAGAGAAATCAGAACTAGTTATTCTGTGATATCCTAGAGCAATATCTCAAACTTTATCTATCATGCACTCATTTTTTTATACTACGTGTGGCACCTATTACTAGTCTATGAAACATATTGAGAAACACCACTCCTGTACAAGAATATTACAGTATTTTGGGGGGACAGAGTTTGATGGGAATGGGGTGGATTGGTACTACAGAAGCAGATTTTTAATTCAGCATAATAAATAAAAACTTTGTGATTTAGAAAAAGATTGTTGGTGACGAGGTGAAAGTATTGCCTCAGAGTGTTAAGCAGCCCACCTTTTTCTGTTTCAGTGATCAGTGGTTAAAGCAGAAAGCATCATTCTAATTTTTATATAGTCTACTCCTCCAGAAGCAAATTATGAAAAGATTCTGTTTGGGTATATGTATATTAAATATTGGAATCAATTTATATATAACAGCGCTAGGGAAAACTAAGGGAATTGGGAACATTTGGGAATCATCTATATTTTCATCATTTTTTTAAAAAACTAGGTTCACCTAGTAACTGAAGAAGAGGAATCAGCTAATACATATGCAATACATCAGGTAAATTGTTTGAAAGTTACTATCATTTAGATCTAAATGTAGACATTGTCCCCAAAAGACAAAATGTTGACCAGCCCTCTCCCCTTTTTAACACCTTCAAGTTAAGGTATAAATTATATAAGATCAAATTTACTTTTCTTAGTTTACAGTTGTACAAGCTTTGATGAAAATACATGTTTTGATAAACATATGACTATATAGCCAGCACAAAAATTAATATGAAGAACAGTTTCTTCTCTCCCCAAATTTCCCTGTGCCCCTTGTAGTTAAGCCCCACCCCCATTCCTAGCTCCTGGCAACTTCTGTCACTATGGTTTTGCCTTTGAAAGAGTGTCATATAAATGGACCCATACAGTATATGGCTTTTTGTGTCTGGAATCTTCCATTTAGCATAATGCATTTGAGATTCGTTCGTCTTGTGTATACTACCTTTTGCTACTATTCAAGTTAACTGTCTGGAAGTTTTCAGCAAAGGGGGAAAACCTCACAAAATGCATTGTTTACCTTCAAGCAGTTACTTGTTTGATTTATTTTTAAGCAAGAAGAATTTTTAATTGTTATCCAAAATACCAGTCATGTGCTGATCAGCAGAGGTTACTCTTTGTGTTAAAGAAAGTGAATGCTTTATTTTCTAGAGGTTAAGTCTTTATTGGCTAATTAAATGTACCTAAGCTTCTTGAATAGTGGTTTGTCTCATAATATGATTTGAGTTGATTGCCTTGGTTATTGTGAGTCCTTGATTTTAGTTACTTATTTTGTTTATTTAGCAGCATTAAAAATATTGTAGTATAGTATTCAAAGCATGTTTTAGACTGTTGAAGTGCCTCTATCCTGAGAATGTTTTATAAATTCAGATCCCAGTTATAAAAGTACATTTAAAATATGGTCATGTATCTTTCTGAGGGTTGTTTTCCTGTTTTTTTTCCCTTCTCTTTCACAGGTGGTTCTTCCTGTACTTGGATACAATATTCAATACCCAAAGAATAAAGTAGGGCAGTGGTACCATGAAATACTTAGCAGAGATGGACTACAGACATGTAGGTTTAAAGTACCTATTCTGAAACTGAATGTTCCAGGATGCTACAGACAGATTTTGAAACATCTCCATAATCTCTCATACCAACTAATGGAAGATCATGACGTTGATATCAAAGCAGAAGGTTCCCTTGTTGATACAGCACCTTTATCACTTTTGATTTCTTTTGATCTTGACGCTTCATGTTATGCTACAGTTTGTCTGAGGGAAATCATGAAGCATGATGTTTAAAACTAATATCCTTGAAATAATCATATATATATATATATATATATCACTCTTTGAAGGAAAGAGAGCTAAGATTTCCTGAGCATCTGCCATATGCTAGGAGCTTCATAATTGTTATCACCTTTAATTTTCATAGCATCCTGAGAAGTTGAAATTTAATGTAACATTACAGAGGACATATAGCTAGTAAATATCAGGTCTAAATGTAAGATCTGTCTGACTCCAAAGCCTGTGTTTTTTCTGTTATGTATTGTTTCAGTGACCTTTATTCTGTGTCATAGAAAGATTCTTTTTAAACCATTAGAAACATATAATACTGTAAGATAACATTTAAGAAAAAAGAGGTTATAAATAATATGCATGCCCTCCAGAACATTGCCTAGAACATAGGTGAAACTAGGTTGCAATGAAAGCAACCTAGTTTGGAAAGAAAAATAGATGAAACATTTGGCTTGTTGTTATTGTCATTCTTTTCTACATTTGAAATTACTGATCATAACAGTATACAAGAGAAATACCATCACTCTATTCATGATAGCTACCCCAGTGTATTTATTATCCTTTTTTGAGATAAATAATCTTTGATGAAGATTGAAATAAAATTTTTCATACAGTTTTTATATCTTGACATGTGGACTCTTTTTTTGTAATTTTTGGGGTATTATTTAAAACAGATTTTAGAGTCAGACAGATCTGTGCTTAGATTCCAGCTCTGATAATTACTAGTGACTTTGAGTATGTTACTGATTTTGTGTGAGTGTGTGGGTCATTTATAGAATCAAGACGATACCAACTTCATAAATGACAAATAATAAGATTTTCTCCACTTTTTTGTTGCTAGAGGAAGAAAATATTTTGCCCGTTTGAAAATTATAATGTTTGTTGGTTTAACTCCTCTATATTATAAACCTTCTTTAGACATTTTGTATCAGTTAAATTTGCCAGCAGAAATGACTGGTATGTATTAATTGGGAAGATCTGAGTATTCTTTCATTGCTGGTAACATTATATAATGATGAAATTTAAAAAGCAATATAGAGCATTATATATCAGTAATGTGGTACTTTATGTACATAAGCTAGTTATACCATTTTGGGAATACAGAAACGAACCCAAAAGAAGGAAAATAAGCTGTATGCAATGCAAAAGTTGCCTATTGCAACATTTTTATATGTAATGAAAGAAATTCAATATTCAAAACAGTTTCAAAGTCTAGCATTAAATAACCAAAGTAAGTAAAATAGGTATCAACTTGATGGTAAAATATGTGATGAATGATTGAGTTACATGAGAAAATGTTGTCCTCCCCAAAGTAGCACTCATGTATTACAAATGCAGTAATACACCAAATTCAGCTTTTACAAATGAGAGACATGTTAGAGTAGAATTGTAAAGCACAGATACTGGAGACAAACTCACCTAGTTTGAACCCTGGCTCTGCCATGTATAGATAGCACTGCGGCCTTAAGCTCATGTGATCAATTCAACATTTAAAAAATGGGAATGTTAATATTGCCTACCTCATAGGATTATACGGAGGATTTCCTGAGTTTATATATACATATGTAGTATTTTTAAAAAGTGCCTGGCACTTAGTTATTGTTAAATAAGTGTCTGCAGATACAAGTTTGCAAGAAAAAGGAAAAAATGAAAATGCTGTTCTGTTAGGATGATGGGGTGTTTGAATTTTTTTTATTAGAAAGTACCTTTTTGTCATTGTATACATATTTTAGCAATAAATAACTCTCTACACACAAAAGTTGGATATTGTCATACCATTGATATTCTTTTAGATTATTGTCATAGTGCTGTTTTTTCAGAATAAAATGATGCTCTATTAGGTAGTAAAAAAAACCTTGGAAAAATGTTTTAAAGCAAATGAATTATATAAATTATTAAATCCTAATTGTCTTTACGTGTTGAGTAGCAATTAGAAAATATGCAAGCATTAAATTGTTCTATCAGTGATATTATTTTCTTTGCCTATAGATGGCACTATAATTTTAGACATCTTATTTAGATATTTATTTAGTAAATACCTTAGCTACGTATAAAGGATCACTCAAGTTATTCTGAGTCACCAATTCAGGTATTGTTCATGTGGAATATTATTTTATATACCAGTAATACCATGTTAACTTTTTTTTTCTGTTTAAGGACTTTGTGAATAAACTTTAGACCAGCTGATGACTAGCCACCTAGGTTTTTGCGGTTGAGGATTTCAGACCTTCATAAGCATGACCTTTGAATTAGTTTTAATTGTCAAGTTTGCATCTAAAACTGAGGAATGGTGCCAGAGGATCAGTGAGGTGAAACACATTTTTATTAAGATAAAGCACCTCGAATTTTTGTGAGTTGTAAAAGTAATATGTAGCTTTTGATTCAACTAACATTTATAGAGTATCTGTTATGTCAGTGTCTCTCATTATAATCCATATACTCACCCTGTGTGGGTAGTATTATTCAGATTAGAAACATATCTCAGTGATTTACTGACCTGTTCAAGGTCAAATAAAATAGTGTGTGGCTGAACTTGATTATGCTTCCTAGATCAGTGCTATTTTCATCTACTTAATATTTACCTTTTGAGAACAATTTTTTTGGATAATAACTTCCATTTCTACCAACTTGATAGTTGCTATTGATTTAATAGGCATATTGGAGAATATCTTCAAATAAACATTATTTCTTTTGAGATTCTGAGACCAAAATGTAAGTAAAGGAGATCTTTCAGGAAATTCCCAGATTATTTTAGGGTATCCCCCAAAATATTTTGGGATTTGTATCACAATAACATTCAAAATCATTAAGGTCATAGGAGGATATGTAATGAACCTGGTAAAAATACCGTTAAGAAAGTAAAGTAAGAAGGTTGCTCTTTTTTCAATTCTCTCAGTCCTTTTATTGATCATTCTGTTTTAAGAAAGGAGTGCCTGATAAGGCGACTCACACTTGAATTCCAGCACTTTAGGAGACCAAGGTAGGAGCATCGTGTGAGCTCAAGAGTTTGAGGCAAGCCTGGGAAATATAGTGAGACCCTGTCACTACAAAAAAATTTTAAAATTAGCCGAGAATGGTGACATGCACCTGTAGTCCCAACTAATAGGGTTAAGGAGAGAAGGATCACTTGAGCCCAGGAAGTCGAGAGGCTATAGTGAGCAATGATCACACCACTCTTCTCCAGCCTGGGCGACAGTGTGAGAACCTGTCTCTAAAAAAAAAAGGAGAAGGAAAAAAAAAAAAGAAAGGAGAAAAAAAGTTGATTGATACTTCAAGCTAGTTTACATATATCACTAATGCTTGCTGATCTAGCTTTTTGTTTTGTTTTGAGACGGTATCTCATTCTGTTGCCCAGGCTCGAGTGCAGTGGCATCATCCTGCCTACCACAGCCCCAGCATCCTAGGCTCAGACGATCCTTCAGCTTCAGCCTTCTGAGTAGCTGGAACTATAGGTGCATGCCACCACACCTGACTACATTTTTTGTATTTTTTGTTGAGACGTAGTCTCTCTATGTTACCCAGGCTGGCCTCCAACCTGGGCTCAAGCAATTCTCCCACCTTGGCCTCCCTAAGTGCTGAGATTGCAGGTGTGAGCCACCATGCCTGGCCTGTTTACTTTTTTTTTTAACAAGCTGAAGACTTCAGGCTCAGAAATATCACCAGGCAATAATATATAACTAGGATTTAATAAGATTGTTTTACTGAATGTACTTTACCTCTTATTCATGGCAAGCAATTCTGGTTTCCTGTTTATATAATGCTATTATACATCCTTCAAAATGAAATTTAGTTTTAAAAAGATAGAATTAATTTAAAGGTATTAAATAAATAATAGTATAAACATAGCAATACATGAATGGTTAAAGTTTAGAAAACACTGGTACAGTTGAGAATCCTTGGACTCAGAGATGGACTCTACCAGTGCTTTAGTACATGACTTCAGTAACCTACTGTTTTCCTCTGTTGTGGTATTCTCAGATTTGAAGTATTGTTATTCATCATTTTTCAGTCCAGGATAGTATATCAAACAAAATCATGAAATTATACACATTTAAGATGTTTTAAACAGAGATACTAATGATCACATGCCATATTTTAAAATTTTCCTGATAGAAAATCATATGAAACACTAAGGAACAGTGTCTGGCACCTAGTAAATTATCAGTAAATTTCAGCTAGTATTGAAACGGTCCATGGAACACATAGTTGCTCTTATGCCGCCAATGAGTTGGGAGACAGGGAACTGGGAAGAAAGAAGTTTATTTCTGAATTTGGAATTCAGGGAGACAAGCCAGTATAGATACCAAGGTCAGCTCAGCTCCTTAGACTTTATAGTCTGTATTTATAAGCATAGGCATTGAGGTTTGCTATTAACATCAAACTATGTGACTTACAAAGCATTCTATAAAATTTCAATTACAATTGTGTTTCATCAATGATAACATTCATGGTACCCATTACTGGGAACCTGTACTTTTCATTTATCAGTAACTTTAAGCAAAGGAGTCAGCAGAGCTTACTACAAAGTAAAACATTATTCATCATGATATATTATTAGCCAAAACAAAAGAGTGTACTGGTTAGGGTCACAAGATTAATATAATTGTATTCTAACTTTAACTGTTGACTACAGAAATGAATGGCAATCTATTTTACTAACTATGTGAATACAACCAGGGGGTCAGTGACTCATTCTGTTCTAAGAAGGGTCAGCAGAGTCTAATAATTCTAAGGAATGCAGGTGTGTGCCAGGTAGTAACCCTAAGTAAGCAAACTATATAACAATCATGAATTAGTGGTAGTGGGTCTCTTTATTCATGTTGTTATAGTTAATATTACTTACTATGCTCCTTGGTAAAATTTTTAAAATGGGTAATGACTTTCTGTTATGGTCTGACTTTGTCTTAGTATAAAGTAATTATAATTCACATATTTAGAGGGTTTTTTGTGTTTTGCTTTTTTGTAAGTGGACATAACAATTTCTAACTGGGGATTCAGCGGTTAGTTCAAATTAAGATCTTTAAGAACTATGTGGTCAGTGTTCCTCAACATTTTCCACCTTGGAACAACTTTTAAGCGATCAAGAAGAAAAAGAAACTCGGTATAACTTAATGCAAAGTTCTCTTAACATTAATTACATAGTAGGAAAAGTAGGTGGAGGAAGATGGGAAGAGATGGAAAACAGGACTTTTTTCTCAATTTGCTTTTAAAATGTTTAAATTTTTAAACAAGAATATATTTGTGTATTAACTTTGCAGTGAAAAACTTTGAAGACTATTTAAGTATCAGATTAAGGAGACGAAGGGAATTAATGGATTATAATTGCATTGGTTCAGAATGGTTCTGGTAACTCATGCCAACATTTTGCCAGAGAGAAATGTATGCATTATACATTTTTAATAGCACAAATGGCAGCTAATATAACTATTTTGTATTAAGTTTAGGGCCTGTTTTATGAACGTTGCTTTCACATTTCAGAAAAGTTCTGTCTTAAACATAGCTTGATGTCTTATGGTACTGTTTTAATCTGTTTTTTCCAAGTCCTCTGCTTTATATATGTATTAATATTTAATAGACCACAAAGCAGTGTCAAATATCGGATACAATAAGCAACAAATATTTGAATGACTCTAAGTTAAAGGCACTCTACAAGATACTACAGGAAGACAAAAATAAATAAGATAATATCCCTGCCGTCGAGGGATTAGCAGTGTTATAACCTTTAAGTCTTCATTTGATTTGAAATGCCACCAGCAAAAAGAATATGCAGACTAAATGGCAAAGAAAAGCAGGCAGCATCTTTCCATTTGACGTGTGACTCACTCTATGACCAGTAATGTTATGTGACCTCTCAGCACCTCATTCTAAATCCTTAAGTGATACTTATATTAGCATTTCTAAGCATTTGAGATCTCCATTTAAAATATGCTTTGAACTATCCAGTCTCAATGCTGCTTTTTAAAAAGCTACTAGTTTAAAGAATGGATAATGGTGTTAATGGAGTTAATCTTGTGTAATTTCAGTGTGGGTTGTCAAGAATATCTCTAAGTAAAGAAAATGACTCTAATCTTCTTAAGCAATTCATTTTCTCAGCAACTCTGAGGCTGGAGTTAATTTACTCTGCCTGTGTACATAGGCCCTCTCTTATGGAATAAAAAAATTACTTATGGAAAGAAGGATAACCATGAAATTATTTAAATTTAGAAACTGGAAAATATTACAAAATATATGATATATTAAATTGTCTTTTTTTTGTTATAAGTTTCCTTAATAAATACCCACTCCACTACCAAGGTAGAACTCAAACCTCTATTACAAGGAGAAAATTTAGCTAGGGAGGTAAAACAAGAACTATTTGGTTGTTTTAAAGGGGAAGAGATCAAAGAGTTGGTCACTTCTTAACAGAGGGTGTTTGGGCAGCAGGATAGGGTGAAGAGTGGAAGGAGGTAGGAACTCAATTCTTTATGCTTTTATACCAACCCACAATTTTCTAATAAGCCCTGCTGGCATTTTCTTAGACTGGTTAAGTCAGGATTCTGAATTTTTCATTACAATAGGGTTTTAATCTCAGCTAATCATTGTTTCCACCCCCTCCTTGGTCATAAAGGACTAGTGTTCTTTTCTTAAAGGGAAGATGAAGATTTTTTTCTATGAATAACCTTTATAATTCCCTTAGGTTATAGCAAAATAGTTTTTTTTAATACTTCAAGTTATAGCAGAATAATAGAATTTTTTTGCATGTGCTTTTCAAAAGGAAAC